GGGGGGATACCTAGATCGGTAAAATACGCGAATTTCTTCCTACAACTTCGGTTGTTGTTCGGGGTACAGTTAAGGTTTTAACGAAGTTCGAGCGAATACATAATTAGCAAAAAAAAAAGTTGAAATAAAGTGATTAAACAAAAATTATTACAAATATCGTAAATAACAGTTCACAAATGCATATATATAGATATTTTTTAAAGAAGGAAAATGGTCTTCACAATTTGAAATCGATCGAACACACAGTGCTCGAATGCTCGTGTAAACGCGCGCCATCTATCGTAGGATAAATGCCAGAAACCTTCGCGGGAGTGTATTAAAAAACTTCCCAAAGTTTCATGGCAATCGGATAAACGGTGTGGTAATGCATGAAGGACAGACACACACACATACATTCATTTTTATATATAGAGTAGAGCGTCGATTATCCGAAAGAATTCCAATCGGCAAATTTAAATTTTCGCCAGTGCTGTGGCGCTGCAATCTTTGGCTACTCAAATATTTTACGTTTTTGATACTAAATTAACTTCTGAAGTATAATTTTTTATTGTTTTTATATTTTTCAATATACAGTAAAACCTGTTAATGGCGACCACCCACGGTTCCTTCAAAAAAGTGGTCTTTTAGACAGGTGGTCGTCCAATACATTTGCATGCGAACTAAAAATATCGTGGAAATAATGTAGATTGATACAGACAGAGCCGGCCCTACCATAGGGCGAAAGGAGCAGCCGCTCCAGGCACTAAGTCCTAGGGGGCGCCTCAGTGGTAAAGAAAATTAAAGGGTATAAATTTGGGGCAACCAAGGGCAGTGGCGTAGCGAAAGGGTGTATCAAGCACCCGGGGGCCACTTGCAGAGGGGCACCCAAATGGTCTCCAAGACAAACTATATGTGTTTCTGGAGGGAGGCACCAATAAAGTGTCGTGCCCCGAGCGCCAGTTATGTTCGCTACGCTACTGACCAAGGGGGCGCCATAATAGGATCTCGCTCCATCCTAAAACTTGCCTCGGGCCGGCACTGGATACAGAAACTATTTATCGCACATGTACTGTATATAAGCTTAAAAAAATAATCTATACTAATATTATAAAGAGGTAATGTTTGTATGTATGTATGTATGTATGTTAGTTTGTATGCAGCAGGTAATCTCCGAAACTACTCATCCGATTTCAAAAATTCTTTCACCAATATTTAGAATGGAACTTCAGGGTGGACATAGGCTGTATATTATTCCGTTAAACATGGGGGATGGACAGTTCTTTACGGTAAGCCTTACGAGGAATGTTACCGTAAAGAACTCTGCTTTTATTTATACTATTTTAGATGCGGGTTTTTGCGTTTTTGATTGCGTTTTAATAGGGTACATCAACAGAATGTACACTAAGAAGGGATTTTTTGATATTCCCCCCGCGGGGGAGAGAGACAGGATTAAGGCTTACTGTGAAAAACTTGGCTTCTATTATACTATTTTAGATGCGGGTTTTTGCGTTTTTGATTGAGTTTTAATAAGGTACGTCAACAGAATGTACACAAAGAAAAATTTTTCGAAAAATTTTCTCCCACGGGGGAAGTGTTATACATTTATAATAGATACATTTTGAGCCACAACAAGGCGTGGCGGGGTCTGCTAGTAATAAATAAATAAAATAAATTTTATCAAACGATGAGATCAACCGATTAATTGTATCAGTACAATATTTTTTTTTATACCTTTGTTGTTAGACTAATTTATTAACACCTGCACCTAATTTCAAGGGTGGGAGAAGTGGCCAGGATGGGTTCGAACGACAGTTTAGACTAATTCATTATATTAGGAGGGGGAAACGATGTTGAGATGGATTCGAACAATAGTTTAGACCAGATACATTCGCGAAAGTGGTCGCTTATTACAGGTGTTGTATGTTGTTTCGGACCAAAAATCGATGCCCGCGGTCGCGTTACACGGGTTGTCGTTTAATACAGGTAACTTATACGAAAACTCTATGGATAAACTATTCCGTGCCAGAAATTTTTGCCCGTTTTGACAGGTGCCCATCGAATGCAGGTGATTGCCTAAGCAGTTTTCACTGTATTTATTTTGTCTGTACAAAATAAAAAAATAATTTTTAACGATACAATAGTCTTAGTTAGGCTTAACATCGACGAAAATCCAACGCGAAGCGACACGCAACGGAGAAAAATTTCAACATCGGATGCGCTAACTATTTTTTGTACATAATCGGTTATCTGAACAACCAAGTCCCCAATCGATTCGGATAATCGACGCTCTACTGTATTCCAATGTGCATTTCATTAGTTACTATACTTGAATCTATAAGATAGATGTTAACCATTTTAAGTTTCAAAGTGTGTGAACAAAATTGTGCCCTCCTCCCCACACACATCCATACATAGGGAAAAAACCCGAACTTTTTTGACCGATCGCCGTACTTTCCCTGTTATATATAACACTCAGAAAAATCTTAAATGTGTATAAAATGGTAGATCTTTAATGTGTATAACTCCGCCATTTACTAAAAATATGGGAAATCCAATTAAATAATATATTATCTTGTAAATCAGTAAAAAAACACAAGAAATTATTATTATATTTTTATTACTTAGATACCAGATTCAATACAATTAGCCTATATAAAAGTTCATAAAAATGTAATGTTTGCATACATTTAAAATTATTTTACTTTAAAGTATATTGGTTTTTCTTTATATACTTTACGTTATGCTAATTAATTCCTATATCATAACAAAAATTAAATAATAATATAATTTCACTAAACTTACAATAATACAAAAACATTTAATGTAGACTATGTTTAATTATAATTATTTATAAAAAAAATTCACAAATTCTACTTTATTGGAACTGGCAAATTTAAATTCAGTACTATTTCTCTAATACTTGTTAGCAATCAAAACAATCACCTAACCGTTCCCCTTAAATAGTATTTAATTTAAGGAACTGTGACAGAACTCTACAAAATTATTTGTATCCATTCACTTGCATTGGCTACAAATGATATTGCAGAGATCTGTTATGGTTAGCACATGGTTGCCTGAAAGTGCTAGAGAAATGGTACTTAAATATAAATTGATTATTAGACTTATACAGGGAGTTTATAAAGACCCTATTCACTTCAATGAAAGTTTTATTGCAGAACTTCTTGTAAATGAGTATGTAAGAACTTGTGATGGTGATGAAATTGTGTATTTCGGAAAATGAACGTAGAATTTGAAAGAGTTCATAAGCCAAATTTACTTACTAAACAATGTGTGAATTGTCGAATTAATTCAATAGAATGGGATATGGTAATGAGAACAGAGATTTGACATCGGTGTGTCTTTGAGCCTGTAGTAAATCGGTACAGAATGCTGTTATAGAAGAACCATGCATCAACTTGTGGCTTATTACAGATTCAAAACTGTCTTATTCTTAGAAAATGTATGTTTATTTAATAATTTATCATTCTGTAATTAAATTAATAGAGATTTCTCTGAAGTAAATAAGGACTTTGAATTTATCAATACAAGATGTTTATAAATTACATAAATAACTAAATGTTAATTAAAGCATTAATCTTAAGAATAAATAACAATTTCAGAGCTTTTGATATAAAGTAAAAAGAAAATTTCTGTCAATGTACAAAATATTTCAATTCAGTACATAGAAATTGATTAAAGTATGTTCGGCTTGAATACTGTTTGCCTGTAAGACATAAATTCAACAAATTCATAAATATGCTTGTTTGCAATTAACATTATTATGTAGATTTTTTAATGTCTAAGAGATGTAAAATTAATTATATATATACTTTATGTACTACATAAAACAAACTAATGGTTTTATTATTTAATACAACATTTTGTTTAGACTTTCCTCTCTCTTTTTATATTCTTTTCTTCTAGATTTACTTTTTCTAGTGCCTCTTCTCCTGAAATGAATTGAATGCATAAGGTTATGATGAATTTCTTTTTCTCAGCTCAAAATTACATTAATAGATTGGACTAAAACACCATTTTCAAAAAGTAAACGATATGCCTTGGAGTTTGGTATTGGTACAACATTTTATATTTAATAATATAGTCATAAGAAATTTTCTATCATTGAAAAATTGTTAAGTCTCAAATGTTTCCTGCTTTTTCTTTGTTTGGAAAAATATCTTTTCCCATCTAGTAAAAGGCATTTCTACCATGATATGAAGTATGAACGCTGTAATAAATGAGAGAACAATATGTCCTAAAACTGTATAGACCTGTAAAAGAATAAAATGATTTTTTAATGTGTATTCATTAAAGAACATTATTTTATATACTGCAATTTTAATGTATTAATGTTAGCTACAATAAATACAGGGTCTTCCAAATGCTACCATTTTAAAGTATTGTAATTATGTTAGTTATTATCTGATACTGTTGTATAGACAGTTTTCCAATGTTTTAATGTACAAGATTCACATTTGCCCATTACAATTTCTCAATGTTTGCACCTCATGCCACATGGAACACATCTAAGCAATACCTAAATTCCTCCTATGCTTCCTACATCTGTTATCACTGTTCCCACAGCAGCCACAATTCTACCGCTTCTGCAGATTACTCGTGTTACACAATGATGAGCGATTCCAACTTTGCAAACTTCAGAGCACAAAATACCTTCTCTATTGTGGAATCTCCACTTTTGTTTATGGCATTTTCTAGAAGTAGAAGACAACAAGACATTTCAATCCAGATGGAAGATGAAACGTGAACAATTACTCTATCAATTGGTGTATCTCACATACTACTTGGGTAATAATTAACATAATTACAGTAATTCAAAATGATAGAAAATATACAGGGTCTTCTAAAACAAATTTTAAGTTTACTAATAATTTAATATTTATTATAAAATTTTCATTTATTATAATTAATCTTTTCTATAAATGTAATGAAGAATATCAAGAATTAGGAACTAAAAAATTTTCATATGATATAAAATACTATGTGATTACATTTAAATATATTGCACTTACTATATTTCCAGGTTAAAATTATTATAGCTCGCAAGGAGAGGTTACGACATGGTCCTTGGGATATCAGTAATATAAATCCTATTATGAATCTTTATTGTGCAAAGTGAGAGAGCATGCTTCTCAAGGATTTTCAAGAAAAAGTAAAAAATTCTAAGCAACTTGAGTAAGTTTTGCCAAAGTTTATATTCTTTAGAAGAGATTGTTCTTGAGTTTAATTTATACATATTTTAAAGTAAGGAGAATCTAGCAAATGATAACAAGTATGTGCATTTTGTTTTGACGTTTTGCCAAAGTTTATATTGAATACCATGTGGTTTAGTGGCAACAAGTGTTATTATCTTGTGAGACTATTAGTTTGAAAGTTGATGAGTGAGGATTTTCAAATCAATACTAGTTTACATAAGATAATTTCAGTAAAACTTCTCTAACTCAAAGCTCCAAGGGGCAGGAAAAAACTTTGAGTTATGGACAATTCAAGTAGAATGAACAGTAGAATGAAAAATGCTGATTCTGTATAGATTTGTATTTTTGCCTCTCTTGCATTATGTATAAAAAAGATCTATGATAGTGTTTTTGTTTTAAATAGCTGATGTAACACCTTCCAACAAAATGTTTAATGTAACTAATGGAATCAAACAGTTTTGTAGTAAGTTACATTTTGTTGAGATAAAGTGAGATGTTCTCTCACTTTGGACTGGAATGTTGTCTGCAAATGGGTGTTGGACAATAGATGGACAATTCAACTAACTGTATGAAAATTTTATGGAAATCTGATAATTAGGATCACTTTGGATACAATAAATGTTAAACTTCAAGTCAAGGAAGTTGATATTAACATAAATCTATGTTGGTGGACTGTGAAAATCTTTGACTTGGAGAAAATTTAAGTTAAAAAAATTCAAGTTGGAAATATTAAATTCCCTGATATTCCATTGAGACCTACCAATTGCTTCATTTTCTTTGATTTAAAGAAAATGAAGCACAATTACAATTCAATTCAAATTACAGATGTTTGAATTAGAGACTTTATAACATGAGAATAATATAATCAGAAACTAATTAATTATTCAAGTTTAAAAACAAATTTTAAATTTATTTCCACAAACAGCAATTACAAAAAGAAATTTTCAAAGATGTGAAAATGCACATCAGCAATACAAAATAAATAGACAAAATGTATAAAACCATGTAATTTACAATCATGTAAAAATAGCATTGATTTGCAAAACCTCATTCAAGACGCAAACCAGAAATCTCACAAATATGAATAAGGCATGCCACCACTGAACCATGCAGCCTTTGACAAAAACTTTTACAAAACTTACTCATAAGTCACTCAGAATGTTTTTACTTCAACTTTCTTGAAAACAGTTGAGATGTGCACTCTGTTCAATAAAGGTTCATATACCAAAGCTTATCTGCACAAACAATACTATTGAGGCCCACGTCACAACCTCTCTTGTCAGACTAGTAGCCTCTAAATTTTGGATGTTTGTTCAAGTAGAGTGAATGAAACATTTATGATTTTAGTGTGAATAGGGCATCTTCAGATGTAAACAAACATAAGAGGCATTTATCTTATGGTACATCTAAATTCAATGATTCAAACTGGGTATATATAAATAAACACTATACATAAAACCAATATCCTGCAAGAAACTACATAAAAGCAAATGTTTTCACCCATGTTGAATGGTCCTCATCAAGCTAAAAGACCTTTACAGTTCAAATGATTTTAAATAAATGGTTTGAACAAAAGAACCATTTATTCTAACAGCTGCATTTGAACTGCAAAAGAGTTTTAGCCTGATGATGACCATTCAACATAGGTGAAAACATTTGCTTTTATGTAGATTTTTATAGATTTTGATGGATCAATATCCTCCCTCTCCATTGGTCTTATGTGTACTGCTTCTTACATTTGTTTGTGCTTGAAGATGGCCCATTAACTGGATCAAAAATAACATTTTTCCCACTGCTAAAGTTATATTGATTACTTCATTAAATTAACCACATTAACTAATTCAATTTTATCCTATCAAAAGATAATAAATTTTACTATGATGATGTCTATACTATATATGCTTATGACATAAATTTACTTTCCAGACCATAGTTAGACTATCATATTCACTACAAGCCATATACCTGTAAGTAAGCTGGAAATTAATTTAATACAGTTTCAGTTTTATTCAGTTTAATTAAAATTTTTAAAATAAAATATTTACCATATTGTAATGATTGAAATAAAAATTATCTCTCACATATGCAGATTTAGCAAGTAGAAAGAAGAAATGAATTAAATAAGACCAATAAGTCAGCTGACCACAAACAGCAAATGCTTTCCAAGAAAGGAATTTATTTATAAAACCTAAAAAAGTTGAAAAAAGAAAAGAAAATTAGAAAATATAAAACCAACATAAAATTAATAACATTTTTATCATTAATCGACATATCATTCAAATATTATCATAACTGTTATTTGAACAAATTATATTAAATCATTTATTTATATATTTTTTAACTGTTGATTTCTAGTTTTTAATTTTAAAAATTGTATATATTTTATTAATTTACATTACAGATATGTCATTTGTAATGATATTGAAAAGAGTTGTTGAGCATTTTTGTACGTCTGTAGGAATTATTGAATTATTAGCAGAGCTGGCCCCACATTTTGGTGAAAATGTTGATGCCTACAGCCTTGTGCTTGAAAATTTGGTAGTATACTTTAGTAGTTAAATTATCAAATTATTAATTATTGAAATTGAAAATATGGCATCTGTTGTATCTGTAGAATAATTATTTTCAAAGTTAACTATTTTAAATGAGGACCCCCTGTAACTGTAATTTAAAATTGGTGAATAATCCACTTGATGCATAACCCATGCTACTTTCAAATTGTCTTTTAAATACAGATAACCTGTGGATTATCTGCAAAAAATTATGGTAATTCAAATTTATATTTTATATAACTGGATTGCAATTTGAAAAAGTGTAGACCTATAAATTCCCATTGTCATTTGTCTGTCTGTCATTAAATCAATTAATAACTTCAGATAAGGAGGCGTTAAAGAGAATTTAAAAATATATTTTATTGCAGAAATAAAATATTTCTTTTAATTCTCTTTAATGCCTCCTTATCTGAAGTTTTTAATTGATTTAATACAACTGTTGGCGTGACATCCAATCTAAGTACTTAATACACTTAACAGTCTGTCTGTCTTTCCCTAATCTCGCAAATGGAGTTAAATAGATGAAAGACAAATCTAAATACAAAAAATTGGGGGCAGAAGTCCCGATTAACTATTTACGAACTTCCAATGCAAACCAGAAGTCGTTATTTCAATTCAAAAATTTTCCCCTGAAAGGTATTAGACGGATGACTGGCATGACTCTATTGTTAAAGGAAAAGTATGATGTACAGAGGCAAGCCACTACTAATTTGAGGTGCAGAGTATATATTTTAAATACATTAAAAATATGATTAAAAATTGCAGCCTGGCATTGTGACAATGTCACAATAAATAATTGCTCATTTGTAATGTAAAAAATATTTGTTCAACTATCGGAACTATACTTAATATTCTTTATTTAAAATGTTTACTTTTAATCATTCAACTTATTTATAAGGTAAAGATGACATGAATAATGTATCTGGCCTTTATTCTAGTCATAGTTCAACTTTCAAATGTATTAAAAAAGTATCTGTTTGGTTTCCTTAACAAAGCAGTTTATTAAGGAGTAATTAATAATTTTACATTTTAGAAGTATTTAATATGTTTATTTTCATTAACTGTATTACTCTTAAACTCATTATAATTACATAATTAAACTCACCCGAATGTCCAGTCGAACAAGAATATGTCACCCAAGCTAGTCCTATACTCCAAACACTTCTATGAATGGAAGAATACAATATAATGGTTGGTCTACTATTATATTTTCTGTATGAATATATTACTGCTATATTGCAAAAAATTGCAACTATCCAAGCAATGACTTGATAAGTCTGGAATTTAGAAAAAAACAAGTAACTTTGAATGAAAATTAATTTTAAATTAAAGTTTTTTGTATTATCATCTTGCATATTAAATATAATAATTCCTAAACAATGTGAAAAAGTTTTGGACTGTATTTCCATGAATAAAATGAACCTTAGTAACTTATTAAATAATTACACTTTTAAGAATTATCCTTCTGTTTACTTAAACTGGGACTGAAACAGAATGTGTATTATTATCGAGCCCATGTAACACCTGGTATCAGGAGGTTAAAATAAAAAAATATAGGGACGGCACCACTGCCCTACTTATGCCCAACTCTCTAGCGAACGGTGTTTGAGTAAACTTTTTTACCCGCGCTTGTAGTTTGTTGACAAAGAGTTGGGCATAAGTAGGGCAGTGGTGCCGTCCCCGGACACTCCCAGGCTCTTTGCCTTTGCCAAAACGCACAAAGATAAACCTGCATTAAAAAAATATAAAAAATTAAACTCAAATTTTTGTATACGTAGAAAGATTTTCAGATGATCAACACAAAACATTCCTCACTTATTTCTAGCCGTATATAATAAACGGCTAGAAATAAGTGAGGAAGGTTTTGTGTTGATCATCTTAAATGTAGTTCTAGCTATAAGTGCATAGAAGTAGAAAGATTTTCATATTCAAGAGTCAATACAGACAAGAACGCCTGTATTGACTCTTTGTCTGATGGTTAACAAATCTGAAAACATGTACAAACATAAGAGAATCTTTATTCAGAATTTATATGCATACATATAAGGGTAAAAAAACATGTTATATAAGGAAATTATTGACAAAATTTCAGATGATGGTTATATAAATGAAATATTGTGCATGGATGATGACAACAAAATAATAATGTCTAGACATAACTAAATATTCTACTTTGTTCTTGAATATGTCCACTTCTTAAATTGATTCAAGACTAGAGTCCTTTCTGTGTCCAGAGTCTAGTGTTATTGGATTACATATATTTGATAGATCATCTAGATAGATATTCCAAAAATCTGTAATAGTATCTGCACTAAGTCAGTCTTACTCTATAGTCCTCTCACAGAGAACCACACTTTCTAAAATTTAAACTCCCACTTTTATCCCAACCAGAAATTATGTTAGGTTTCCAGTTTCTATCAGAAACCATCCTCTAGTGCTGTCTAATGGTATGAGGTCCTGTGTAACACTCAAGCTCCTGTCAAAATTTTAATGAGTATTTTTAATCAGACCGGGAAGTAAAACTTTGACTTTGTCACTCAAAGAAATGGGTGAAATAGAAAAATTAAAATGAAATGAGGAAAAAATACTTTGGCAAGAAAAAAAATGTCAAATGAAAATAAATAAAATTCCTAGGTGTTAGGACGGAAAACAATGTTCAAAAATAGTTTCAAAGTTCACCAAACATCACTTAGTCAGAGTTGAGATGCAGTGTCAAGTTGAATACAATGATCAATCTTTCTTGTGACCTGATCTGGTCCAATTTCGCTTGGATATGAAGAAAAAAACCAATCATAAAGCAATGAGAAGAAATTGGATCCAATTAGAATGGATTTTCTTATCCAAACTTTGTAATGCAGGATCTGTTCCTTTCTCTGTTTTTGTGCTTGTATTCCTGCCACTATTTGTCCTTATATTCCATGTCCGTTTCATTGCCATTCCTTATCTTTAAGCTACTGATTTAAATACAACCAGTTCCATCTCCAGATTTGTCAATGATACTGCCTCAGGAGCAAAGACTTGTTCAGAGACCATTAAAAACATTCACAGAAGCTGGAAACAAGATAACTAATAATTTACCTAGTGCTTCAATAATTCTTCCAGAAATTTTTTGCTTCAAAAAACAAACGTTTTCGGCCTCTTTATTGACCCTCTTCAGATATATGAGCAGAAAAAAGAATACAAAAGATTTTCCAATAATTCAATATAATTTTAATTCTTTCAAGTTCTTTTTTTCTATTATTTTTCTGTAATTTTATTATTATGTAAATTATAATGAGTAGTTCCAAAGGAAGTCGACTATAGGGAAGATAGATACTCTGACTCCCACAGGTAAAGGTATGTTATGAGATGTGCACTTCAGTGTTTATGGAACTTCCTCATCAATTATGAATGTTTCAAGATTAAGCCCTTTCATGAATTTTTTAAGATTTTTGTAATTTTACTGTAAATTAATATACTGTAATGTTCTTGTGCAATTTTGGGGATGGTATTAATTAATAAATTAAAGATATGACACAATGAGTTCAGTCCAAACATGGCATTATGTGTTTTATTTCTAAAAACCCTGAAATTTTCAACAATAAAAATACTGGAAAAGTTCATGTTTCTGTAATAATTTTATTTATATGTATAACTTTTCAATGTTAGTAATTTAAATCAAATAAAATCTCTAAAATAGTAGATAAAGACTCCGAAAAAATTATCTGACTACATCCCTACAGAGGACAATATTTTATGCTTTACATTTATGTAACAGGCTATTTTTCCACATAATCACCCTTGATATTTAGATATTTACTCTATCATGTGATGAATTTTTGTATTTCCAAGTGCCTAAATGGATGACTAGGAGGAAAAATAGCCAATGATATGTACATTTAAAATATTAAAGTTTTTTCATAACACTCAAATGAATATCATATATAAAATTTTATTTGTATTGTTTCTAAGTCTCGAATTGGAAAAAAGATTTAAAAGATATTTAACTGTAGCTTATTTATGCAGTAACATCATATCTTAAATGAAATGCTTAAATGAACTGCTACTTACCATTTTCAGATTAGGTTTCGGATATTTACAAATAAAAAATCCAACTCCCATTCCAATAATATAAACAGGTAAATGGCTGTATGGCTTTATATATATAAGATCTAAATAAGGGTTTTGATTCTGTAATCTGTAAAAATGTTCAAAAAATTATTTTAAACTATTTTAGAGAATAAGAGAGAGAGAAAATGTAATTGTACTCACTTTAGATCATCACCAATGAGAACATTAAGTAAAGGTAAATTGTAAATCTCTGTTAAAGCTGCTGTTATTATCATAGATATAAGAAGAAGAACTATTCCCAGAACTAAACCAATTAATTTCCATCTACAGCAGAAATAAATATACAAAAATAACAGAAAAGAGCAAGAACATATGCATAAGACTTCACATTCTTTTATTTAAGGAAAAATACAGTTCTAAAGATTGGAGATTAAAAGGTATAATACCTCCTAATTTCCAATCGCTATTATGTACAGATCTGTTAAAATCAAGTTTATTTCTTTAAATTACTAGCATTATTACATTAATTAAAGAATAATATTAGTAATTTAAAGAAATAAGTTTGTATTTGTTTTCTGTTTTTCTTCTAAAATTTTTCTAAATTATTATATACAGGGTACTCAAAATTTAAATGCAATTTTGACTTTATAAATAGGGGTTAATTTGCATTAGTCTGAGATACAGAGAATTAAATTAAAATGTTCAAAACTTTGAATAAAGTCAGTTTTTTTGAATTAATGTTACTTCATAAAAAAGGTCATTTATATTTAAATTCAGCTTTGCTTTTAGCTTTCAATCTCCAATAACTGGTATTTTAGAAATGAATTATTTAAAAGACAGAACCGACAATTTGCCAAATGTGGAATTTTCATCAAGCTAAAGTGTTTTTCTAAATAAGTAATTGCCGAAAAAATAATTTAAAGTCATTGAAGATTCAACATTGTCTAATTTTTTAAAATGTGGATGAACTTGAAAGACAAAATATTCCTCATCAAATCAAGCTTTTAGCTTATTTCTTAGATTGTACAGTAGGTAACATGTGCAAGATGCCATAATGTATTTTGACATAAAAAAGTTAGTCCATACAATAATAGTTTTTAATAGGTGTTTCTCTCTTGGGGACGACATTAAATACTTTCTCTCATAATCGGGGCCGTTGAAAGCCTGTTATACGGAATAGAGTGGTCTCCCTTTATCCCTCAACGAATTCCTTTTGCTTTTCAAATACTCATAAAATATTTTTAAAATTAATAAATAGATTCATTAAAGATCTTATCTTTTGCTAGTAAAAATAACATCAATTTATTTGGGGCGTAACTAATACTGGCCTTCGAGTTCGTGGAAAGGGTTTTGGTTCTCTTATTCTCGATGGCCCTATTCGTGATCTTTGCAAAAGTGTGCCTAATTTCATTTTGTAACAAGAATTTAAATATCTTCTGCTGGACTCTCACCCTAATGCAATTTGACTCTGAATTACTAGAGTCGAGGTAATGAATCAGTGAATTTATACCGTAATTTGGTGTTTTCCTGGACAACGAAACAGAGCTCTGCTGCATAGGTTTAACTGTTTCGGCTTTCATACGAAAACACAAATGTCGTGACAATGCTTCTGACATTCTATCTAAAGCAGTTCCAGTTTAAATGCAGGTTCTGGGCGAAAAACCCGGATTGTATTGAAGTTGTTTGCTCTAAACTTTGAAATATTTTGTACTAATTTATGCTCCATTATATGTGTCGTTTATCCCTCTGTGTAATTTTAACATTTTTATTCATATTTTAAAATTTAATTACAAAATATAAAAGAAAATAATTTTGTAAACAACTCTTAGTTCAAACCACATGTGCCTGCAATCACATGACGGTGTTTGGATTTCATTTTTCGGACATAATTAATCAATTTTTCGTTACTGACGTCAGCCAGGCGAATCATTTCTTCGGTTTCTTTGGCATCGATGTAACCGTCGCCATCTTTGTCGAACAGAGAAAATGCCTCTCCGAATTCGACGATCTGCTCCTTCATTAATTCGTTGGTCATCGTTTTATATGAAAATCTAGCCGATTCGAACAATGGAAATTTATTTATTGTCGCGAGTTACGTATTTGTTGCGATGCACGCGCTCGTTTTAGATGATCAAAACCCATTTTTTTTACAATGGCGCCAGCCATACTTCCGATAGAAATTTCTGCCATAAATAAGGAACGCAGTATATTAAATACACAGTAATTACGACAAAATTCGTGTGCATTCGATGTCAATTTTACGCGCGATTTAAAAGAAACGAAGAAAAAATACTTTTGTTAAGTACATTATCCACAGCATTCTCAGTAGATAAACTAAACCCATAAATTCACCAAACCACCTAAATTTTTGTTAAGCAACCTTTTTACAAGGTATTTCACTAACATTTTCAACCTATTTCCTATATAGATCAGCGTTTCTCAACGTGGGGCCCACGCCCCACAGGAGGTTCGATTCGAAAATGGACTCGTCCAGAATTTAAATTAATTGTGTAAAAACACTGATAAAGACCATTCTCAGATTTTAGAACGCAATATAAATGTTCCAAAATGGAACATTTATATATTTCGAATTTATAACATTTTTAAATTTAAGAAATAATTTAAAATAAATGAAAAAATAGTAAACTAAGTTAAAAAACCCGTAAATGTATCATTTGTGGTTAAGTCCCATTCTATTTTCTATTATATTGATATATTTCCACGCTGTTGGAAGCACATGAGCATCCATAGAATTTAAGCAACGGTTTTTTTTTATTTTGCTTAATTAACGGTTTAACGAAAGTACTACTGGCGCCATAATAAAAAAGAATTTTGATCTTTTCAAACGAGCGTACGTAACTGGCAACAAATCTCGTTATATCGAGTGATAATAAATAAAACCATATTATTCGAATCGGCATAAAACGATGGCCAACGAATTAACCGAGGAACAGATCGCCGAATTCAGAGAGGCGTTTTCTCTGTTCGACAAAGACGGCGACGGGCACATCACCACCGAAGAACTGGGCACCGTCATGAGATCTCTGGGCCAAACTCCCACCCAAGCCGAATTGCACGACATGATCAAAGAGGTGGACACCGACGGAAGCGGCAGCATCGAATTTGCCGAGTTCCTGAATCTGATGGCCAAGAAGATGAAGGAGGCCGACGACGAAAACGAGATCATCGAGGCCTTCAGGGTCTTCGACAAAGATGGCGACGGTTACATCCATATCGAAGAACTTCGCGACGCCATGATGAATCTGGGCGAAAAGTTGACGGCCGAAGAGACCGAAGAAATGATTCGTGAGGCAGACATCAATAACGACGGGTTGATTAATTACGCCGAATTTGTCAGGATGATGTCCGAAAAATGAGACCGCTCCTTAGAATTACGAATATCCAATTTGTTCTTTCAGAAGGGTTATTTACTTATCCTAAATTTCATTAAAATTGTAATTTTGAGTTACTATATCACGTGTGGTTTATTTTCTTTAAATGTTATGAGGACTTTTTTTGGTTTACATTTCTATAAGCTACTAGCAAAGAATGGCCAGCGTTACCTGGGAACTCAGGGAGAGGATTGAGTTGTATTTGTTACAAGGTAGCATGTGTTTCCTGCAGGATGGCAGAGAGTAACTATGAAAAATTTGGTCCAAACCGGTTTGGCAATTTGTGCGAATGAAATCAACGAGGAGCGAGAGTCCGAGTTTGAAAGTGCAGTATATTTTTGGAGGTTTGTAGAGAGTAACAATGCAAAATTTATCTGAATTGCTCAAAAGCCGAAGCCACGGTGATGCATTATAAGTTCGTGACGACCTGGGCAAGTTTGAATTAGGTGTCCCTGTGTGCGGTGTTGACTTCAAACATTTTTCTTTGGAGAAAATTTAGTAAAATATAGCAAACGTAGCTGCTTGTAGCTGAGGAGATAACAGATAGGGCCCAATTAGAAAATCATTCCGAATTCCAACTCATAGGATGATTGCAAAATATTGTTCATGTTTATGGTTAAATGCAGAGCCGGCCCTACCATAGAGCGAATGGAGCAGCCGCTCCAGGCGCTAAGCCCTAGAGGGCTCCTCAGTGGTAAAGAAAATTAAAAGGTATAAATTAGGGGCAACCAAGGGGGCGCCATAATAGGATCTCGCTCCATCCTAAAACTTGCCTTGGGCCGGCACTGGTTAAATGTTATATGTGAGTTTTTCTATGCCAAAATATGACTATTGTTTGCATTGTACAGGTCTCTTAAGTGAAAGAGGCTTTCTCAGTAAACATAAATTTTAGGAAATTCTGGGTATAGTCTGCTTTAATGAAGAAACCAACAAATAAATTCAATTCATGCATGATAATCTTTAAGGCAAAGTGCTTGTACATATATGAAATGATGTAGGTAAAAATTGTTCTTGCAGATGATATTCCATGGTATATCTTGAAACATTTGGAAGACATTAGCAATTGCCCTAGCGCTAATAAAGGAATAATTTTCGAGTTACTATTAATACAATGCTACTTCACGTCATGATGTTTAAACTGTTCTAAAGCATCCAGTATTCATTCTGTTATCTACACATTTATTTTCTCACAATGATGAACTGAGGCAAAGATTGAATGAAGGTAACATCTTTGGTTAAGAAATCATTGATGACCACTATGCTTCTCTACTGTTTCCATTAGCACTATCATAACAGAAAATCATATCCATAATTAATGAAATGCTAGCAATTTATTTTTATTGAAAATAAATTGTCACTCTTCATAGCCTAACAATATTTATTTGGTTGATACCAGTCAATAATTCACAGGGAAAAGAAAGAGAGAAACTTAGTCATTAAAAATTTTGTCTTCTCAGTGAAACACTGGAGTTATGAAAATTGGCTACTTTCAATTAATATGTGAGCTTCTGTATCTCATAAAGTAATGCAAATTATCCCCTTGTTTTACAATTAACAATGCTTTTAATTATTTCCGCTACTATTGCTCTAAGTTCATCTATGTATTTTTTGAGCACTCTATATATGAAAAAACTATTAACAATTTCTTATGCTACTTTCATTATAAACATATAGAAAAATATATAAATTTCTCTTGTTCTTGAGATCATTGATTGGTGATCAAAACCTCATATCTCCAATGAGTCAATACCTTAATATGTTGTAAAGTCAATTTCTATATATTGCCAAAACTTTGTAAGTGGTTTGTACCTTCTGAGCACTGTCTCTAACATTATCAGAAACTCACCACCTCATACTCAAAATTCTGCTCCCTTGAAACAATGTTTTTTAAGCCCGCCTGTAAAATTCTAGAAAATGCAGATAAAAGGTTTTGATCACCAACTGACGATATATTATTTTATATAGTTTAATTCTTCAAAATTCATAAAAGTTAGCTTACCTGAAACCAATTAATAATAAGAGAATTCCTATTAAGTGGCACTGCATTAATGAGGCAAGATACCAGGAATGTGGAAGACACTAAAATGCATATATGTTTTTATATTTTCATGTATTAAATTCTGATTTTTATTTTTCCTAATTATATTTTAATATGAATTTGAAATTAAAATACAGAGAGTCCGGATTGAGACTGATACATTTGCAAGGGCTATAAATAAGATTAAGAACTACAATAAAAGTAAAGTATGCAATTCAAAGAAGACAAACTCACCAAGTTTTTATTGCAAAAATGGATACAGTTCAACTTATACTTCTTTTGAGATTTTATAATTTTGTGTAAAAACAAACTTTTAAAAATCTCCATATATACTCCATCTGTTGCAAAGAGAATAGCATAACCAATTGTGAACAGTTGAGCAGAGAACTCCAAGTTGCCAAGCTTCCTGACAAGTGGACTTCTATGAGCTTTAGAAAGCCTCCCCAATTTTCTCACGTTTTCATCTGATAATTGGAGTTTCCCACCTCTGAAATTTTTCAGCACACATCCAATGGACAGAAACTATTTCTTTCATGCCTTGATGCTGTTTCATAATGGAGGACCTTTCACAACATATAAAAGTTTCACTGCACTTGCACAAGAGAATTTGTCTGAGCATACAACACCACATAGTTTGCACTTTCTTTTGAGCCAACATCATTTTGACAATTATGACTGCAGTGCTGCAACTATATACTCTCTCTAATTGCCTCAATTCTAGGATAAACTTACACAGGTACTCTTTTCTCGTGCCATTGCATGAGGAAGATCAACTGTGAGATCTTTATGCATTGAATTTTGACAGTGATTTACAATATATCAGTCTCATTCTGGACACTCTATGACTCTTTCTGCCCTGAAAACTACATGCAAAGTGCAATAAGGTTTGTATGTTTTGTTTAAAACATGGCATTTTCCATACCCATCTTGAGTTTGGCCAGACTCACAATAGGGGCAACTAGATAATAAAGGATAGGGTTTAACATATCTGAGATGGACCATCCACAAAAAATTCCTGGGATTGCTTATCCAGATTTCATCCCAAGCAATAGGTTGGTGACTTAACTACTTTGGCTGTCTGGTCATCAAACTTTATTTGCTTATTTTATGAATTAGTTTAATACAATAAACTAAATAAGTTATAATTATTTTAGCATGTTATAATATATATTATCCATCAAAAAAGAATAGATATACAGTAAATTGAAAAATTTCTAATCAGTTTATCAATTACTTCATTCAATCAATTTATGTATTGGGAAATTGGAATAGTTCCTGTAGCACAGGACTACTTGAACAATTCCAACTTTTTCAGTATATCAAGTGAAATGGCAGACATTTGATGCTATTTTTATTTTTGTCATTCATCAATGCCACTTAAACATTGATGAATGACAAAAATTGACAGTTATTTTATTTTTATTGTTAAAATTTAGAAAGTTAAAAATGAAAAAAATGAGTTTGGGATTTAAGAGTATTAGATTTATGTTTTAATGATTTTAGAGCTCACTCAGCCTATTTTAGAATTTGGTGACAATTCTGAAAAGATAAAATTAACCAGAAAATGATATGCTTTAAATGTAGATATTAGAAGTGATACATCACTTCTTATGTCAGCATTTAAAGGATGCTCATAAACTCTGGAAACGTGGATGAAAATACAAAATAAATGGTTTTATTGATATATTCAGTATATTGTCTCGCAAAGCCAAATGAACTGCTGAATTAACAGGCTATAATATTGCTATATAATTAATTAAATGCTAAATAATTTGTTTAGGAGTAGTCATCTATACTGCCATTTCATGCTGGATTTAATAATTATAATAAATTTAATTTTTAAAATTTTCTGGAAGAAGAGAATTGGCCTGAAGATGCAGGACTTGAATCCTCAACTCACTCTGAAAACCTCCGGGCAATCTTCGCTTTCAGAACTTCATTTGGCTTTAACTATGAATCAGGTTTTGATGTTCTTATATATGCTTTCTCTCATTAACAATATATATGTTCAATGTGCTGTGTAATACTGCAATAAATAAAGTGCATTAACACAACATGTGTCCAGACTATGACCATCTTGTATATATTGGCATTCTAATTTCTCCTAAATGCCTTTACTTGCATACAGAATTTTTTAATTTATATTAAATCAATTAATTAGAAATTATTGTATTATCAATGATAATGAGTTAATAATTCTTTCTATAAATTATTATAATACAGTAGCATTTAAGATAAATGATGTTTTTAGTGTACAGTCTGCATATAACTTCAAAACAAAATTCTATTAATAAATTATTCATATCTCTAAAAAATATATGACATTTAAATAAATAGAATAAACATACTATTTCATTAAACTTCCAAATATTTTGGATGTACAGAAGATTTGCCCACCAACGATTTTTGCAAGAATCAATTCCTTGTTGCATTCCAATATTCCACAATGGACCAGATCCCATAAGGGGTATAATAAATGGAATTGTCATAGCAACTACAAGACTTGGAGTTAATCTAATCAAAATAAAATTTATAAGTATTACATATAATTAATTATTAAGAAATTAGAACTTATATCAATTTATACTAAAATATTATTATAAAACTAGTATTAATAACAAAAATATCTGTTTTATTGGAGTTCACTCACACTGAATAATAGTTTCATTGACTAACTATCATTCAATGTAAGTGAGTTCTAATAAAGCAAAGATTTTGTTATTATTTTAAGAAACTGGATTTGGTTTCATTATGAAAGATGTAAATTATAACTCCAGTAAATATTTTCAGTGGCATATCTAGGATTTTGAGAGCATGGGTGATGTTCAAGGCAGATTCAGGAGGACAAAGGCTTGTGGCACCTGTTTTTCAGAAAATGTTACTCAATTATCTAAGAATTATTTTAGTTACCAAATCTTATCTAATTGAAGTCAAACAAAATGTATTATTGACCTGCAATTTTGCATGTGTCGACACATGCACTGCATATGAGTGCACACAAGAATTTCCACCATATTCAATGCATGTAATCCGTTTTGCTGTTGATTTTTGGAGTGACAACAAAGGGATTTGAACCATATTCATATCTAAATGTGGATGCTTGCAAGATTTCAACACACAGATGTTTAGTTTTCCATGCCAGTGACAGAATTGGTGTTTATGTTACTGAGTGACTACATCTAAATTAATTAATCATGAAAAAAAATGTGCTGCTTTCATTATTTTGTACTTTCTTCTTTTTTGCATGTTAAAAAACCTTTGTTCCCACTTGTCTTTAGGATCCTAGAGTAGATTATGTTTTTCTTACTCTTATATCAATCACATTCTGTTTATTTAACTCTATCATCATAATTTAGAAAACTAAACAATGGCAAAAAACATGCAGCAGCCTTTTAATATCTGTCAATTAAAAGTATTAAAACAAGAATGAACAAGTTACCACGCTTGGCTTGAGTGCCGATATATAGTACATAATGCAAAAATTTATATGGAAATAAATTCAGATTTGGGCAATTTGTGCCGAATTCTACATTCAATGCACAATGCAAACGATTACTAATGTGGACCTGTCTTTAAAGTAAACTGATTGCTTTTGGTATCAAGTTGGCACTGCAATACCATAAGCACTCCCCTGGATATGTGTCTGATAATTATCATTATTTGTATAAGAATGAACTTTGTCACATTTGTCCATTTTGCTATATTTCGGTTATATGCATTATGTACTTGAAGTATTTAAGTATTAAATTGAAATAAAATTTGAATTCTTTTTTTTTTTAAATGAAATATAGACATTATGATGCAATATTGAAACAAAAACATACTATATATTAAAAAATATAAACAGAAATAGGATATAAATAAACTGCATTAATTTATTTTAGAGTTTCAATTAAAATATAAATTGAATCAATGAATAAATTTATGCCATTTTAAGTTAATAGAACAAAATTTTACCACCTTTAATTTTAAACTGATAGTATTTTATAATCTAAGGACTCTTAACTATTGTCATATTTCTTCAGTTCTATTCTCTCTTAACAAAAGATTTTATGTGATAAAAAAATTAACTAATAATTTTAATTAATGTATATCTAAAAAAAGAATGTTTCTAATATTATTTAACATATTTTGTTATTGTTTTAAATTTCTGAAAGTTGAAGATAATTTCAAAATTCAGTGATCCTAATTATAAGTTTAATAAAATAATATATACAAAGTGGTTCATTTTAATCAATCTACTGAAATAATTCAGAAAATATGCATCCTGTATAAAATTCCTTAAACAAAAATGTTAGATTTCAAAGGAACCACTTTCAAAGCCTTGATTAAACGAGCACATTACCCTGCCCTGACATTGTTGATAGATAGAAAGATTCTGCTACATTAAAACACTGGAGGAGCATTTTGATTATTATCCTAGAGTCACACAAGACAGAGTGCTATCAGTTTCATCATAGATGGTTATACAAACAGTAAAAAATGGAGTCAACTTCATTTTCTTAAATGGGAACTTCCATTTTTTATTGCATATTATGATTCTTCATAAAAAAACAAACTTTTATCTGAATATATTTTTTCAAAAGATTACTTATCAGAAGCTATAAAGCTAGGGATGGGCAACCTTTATAAATGTTCATATCAAAATTGCCAAATTTATGATGCAAAATTCTCTCAAATGCCAATAGAAATTTTTGGGAACATATTATTATTCAATGTCTTATTATTGATAGTGTCTATTTCTTTACTGAATTTTTATTTAGTATTACCCTACTCAATAAAATTGTATTCTAACTGGTTAAAAAATACAACTTGGCAAAGACATTGGATATTTATTTTTCAAGGTGAGCTCTGGGTTCTGTGCAGGAAAAAAGTTGTTGGCATGCCAAGGGTTCCACCCATTTTGTGTGTTTAAACTTTTATACAACCACCGTATTTCATTATTCATTTAAAAATTCTTTAGGAAACTATTATTATTTAATGAAATCATATTTTTCTTTAAATAATAAACTGATACAAAAACTTGTGCCACAATGTGTTGAAGCCATCAAGCTTGTGATAAAGAGATTGATTTTTCAAACCTATCCTCAAGCTCAGCTAATCTTAAATTTTCTCAATATATTTTTTGTGTTAATGAAACTGTAGAGTGCATAATTAATGTGATTCTCCCTTGCCTCTCTCAATTTTCTCCTATTGAAAATGATGATCAAATACATTTCCATTTTCTTGAATGTATAAATCAGTTCTCTGTTGGGAATGTCTCATAGTTTTTAATAACACATATCATGTTCATAAAATCTCATAACATCTGATAAGTACATCTTTCAGAAAAAATGTTCCAGATAAAAGCTTATTTTTTTATGAAGAATCATAATATATAATAAAAAATTGGTGTTCTCACATAAGAAAATGAAGTTGATCTAATTTTCATTGATTGTATCATCATCTCCTGGCCTCTTTGAAATCTAACATTTTTGTTTTAAAGAATTTTCTTTGCAAGATGTATGTTTTTTGACTTATTCCAGTGAATTGATTAAAATGAACCACCAAGTATGTTATATACATTAATTATGTTCCAACAGATTTTGATCAAACAACAAAGTGAAACAACATTCTATAAATTTAAGATATCAATAGATATAAAAAAAGATAAAAACCATATTTATATATTAATTATTAGTAAGTGAATATCATGATGGGANCTGGGCCAAACTCCCACCCAAGCCGAATTGCACGACATGATCAAAGAGGTGGACACCGACGGAAGCGGCAGCATCGAATTTGCCGAGTTCCTGAATCTGATGGCCAAGAAGATGAAGGAGGCCGACGACGAAAACGAGATCATCGAGGCCTTCAGGGTCTTCGACAAAGATGGCGACGGTTACATCCATATCGAAGAACTTCGCGACGCCATGATGAATCTGGGCGAAAAGTTGACGGCCGAAGAGACCGAAGAAATGATTCGTGAGGCAGACATCAATAACGACGGGTTGATTAATTACGCCGAATTTGTCAGGATGATGTCCGAAAAATGAGACCGCTCCTTAGAATTACGAATATCCAATTTGTTCTTTCAGAAGGGTTATTTACTTATCCTAAATTTCATTAAAATTGTAATTTTGAGTTACTATATCACGTGTGGTTTATTTTCTTTAAATCTTATGAGGACTTTTTTTGGTTTACATTTCTATAAGCTACTAGCAAAGAATGGCCAGCGTTACCTGGGAACTCAGGGAGAGGATTGAGTTGTATTTGTTACAAGGTAGCATGTGTTTCCTGCAGGATGGCAGAGAGTAACTATGAAAAATTTGGTCCAAACCGGTTTGGCAATTTGTGCGAATGAAATCAACGAGGAGCAAGAGTCCAAGTTTGAAAGTGCAGTATATTTTTGGAGGTTTGTAGAGAGTAACAATGCAAAATTTATCTGAATTGCTCAAAAGCCGAAGCCACGGTGATGCATTATAAGTTCGTGACGACCTTGGCAAGTTTGAATTAGGTGTCCCTGTGTGCGGTGTTGACTTCAAACATTTTTCTTTGGAGAAAATTTAGTAAAATATAGCAAACGTAGCTGCTTGTAGCTGAGGAGATAACAGATAGGGCCCAATTAGAAAATCATTCCGAATTCCAACTCATAGGATGATTGCAAAATATTGTTCATGTTTATGGTTAAATGCAGAGCCGGCCCTACCATAGAGCGAATGGAGCAGCCGCTCCAGGCGCTAAGCCCTAGAGGGCTCCTCAGTGGTAAAGAAAATTAAAAGGTATAAATTAGGGGCAACCAAGGGGGCGCCATAATAGGATCTCGCTCCATCCTAAAACTTGCCTTGGGCCGGCACTGGTTAAATGTTATATGTGAGTTTTTCTATGCCAAAATATGACTATTGTTTGCATTGTACAGGTCTCTTAAGTGAAAGAGGCTTTCTCAGTAAACATAAATTTTAGGAAATTCTGGGTATAGTCTGCTTTAATGAAGAAACCAACAAATAAATTCAATTCATGCATGATAATCTTTAAGGCAAAGTGCTTGTACATATATGAAATGATGTAGGTAAAAATTGTTCTTGCAGATGATATTCCATGGTATATCTTGAAACATTTGGAAGACATTAGCAATTGCCCTAGCGCTAATAAAGGAATAATTTTCGAGTTACTATTAATACAATGCTACTTCACGTCATGATGTTTAAACTGTTCTAAAGCATCCAGTATTCATTCTGTTATCTACACATTTATTTTCTCACAATGATGAACTGAGGCAAAGATTGAATGAAGGTAACATCTTTGGTTAAGAAATCATTGATGACCACTATGCTTCTCTACTGTTTCCATTAGCACTATCATAACAGAAAATCATATCCATAATTAATGAAATGCTAGCAATTTATTTTTATTGAAAATAAATTGTCACTCTTCATAGCCTAACAATATTTATTTGGTTGATACCAGTCAATAATTCACAGGGAAAAGAAAGAGAGAAACTTAGTCATTAAAAATTTTGTCTTCTCAGTGAAACACTGGAGTTATGAAAATTGGCTACTTTCAATTAATATGTGAGCTTCTGTATCTCATAAAGTAATGCAAATTATCCCCTTGTTTTACAATTAACAATGCTTTTAATTATTTCCGCTACTATTGCTCTAAGTTCATCTATGTATTTTTTGAGCACTCTATATATGAAAAAACTATTAACAATTTCTTATGCTACTTTCATTATAAACATATAGAAAAATATATAAATTTCTCTTGTTCTTGAGATCATTGATTGGTGATCAAAACCTCATATCTCCAATGAGTCAATACCTTAATATGTTGTAAAGTCAATTTCTATATATTGCCAAAACTTTGTAAGTGGTTTGTACCTTCTGAGCACTGTCTCTAACATTATCAGAAACTCACCACCTCATACTCAAAATTCTGCTCCCTTGAAACAATGTTTTTTAAGCCCGCCTGTAAAATTCTAGAAAATGCAGATAAAAGGTTTTGATCACCAACTGACGATATATTATTTTATATAGTTTAATTCTTCAAAATTCATAAAAGTTAGCTTACCTGAAACCAATTAATAATAAGAGAATTCCTATTAAGTGGCACTGCATTAATGAGGCAAGATACCAGGAATGTGGAAGACACTAAAATGCATATATGTTTTTATATTTTCATGTATTAAATTCTGATTTTTATTTTTCCTAATTATATTTTAATATGAATTTGAAATTAAAATACAGAGAGTCCGGATTGAGACTGATACATTTGCAAGGGCTATAAATAAGATTAAGAACTACAATAAAAGTAAAGTATGCAATTCAAAGAAGACAAACTCACCAAGTTTTTATTGCAAAAATGGATACAGTTCAACTTATACTTCTTTTGAGATTTTATAATTTTGTGTAAAAACAAACTTTTAAAAATCTCCATATATACTCCATCTGTTGCAAAGAGAATAGCATAACCAATTGTGAACAGTTGAGCAGAGAACTCCAAGTTGCCAAGCTTCCTGACAAGTGGACTTCTATGAGCTTTAGAAAGCCTCCCCAATTTTCTCACGTTTTCATCTGATAATTGGAGTTTCCCACCTCTGAAATTTTTCAGCACACATCCAATGGACAGAAACTATTTCTTTCATGCCTTGATGCTGTTTCATAATGGAGGACCTTTCACAACATATAAAAGTTTCACTGCACTTGCACAAGAGAATTTGTCTGAGCATACAACACCACATAGTTTGCACTTTCTTTTGAGCCAACATCATTTTGACAATTATGACTGCAGTGCTGCAACTATATACTCTCTCTAATTGCCTCAATTCTAGGATAAACTTACACAGGTACTCTTTTCTCGTGCCATTGCATGAGGAAGATCAACTGTGAGATCTTTATGCATTGAATTTTGACAGTGATTTACAATATATCAGTCTCATTCTGGACACTCTATGACTCTTTCTGCCCTGAAAACTACATGCAAAGTGCAATAAGGTTTGTATGTTTTGTTTAAAACATGGCATTTTCCATACCCATCTTGAGTTTGGCCAGACTCACAATAGGGGCAACTAGATAATAAAGGATAGGGTTTAACATATCTGAGATGGACCATCCACAAAAAATTCCTGGGATTGCTTATCCAGATTTCATCCCAAATCTCTGAAGGAATTGGTTGATGACTTAACTACTTTGGCTGTCTGGTCATCAAACTTTATTTGCTTATTTTATGTAGTAGTTTAATACAATAAACTAAATAAGTTATAATTATTTTAGAATGTTATAATATATATTATCCATCAAAAAAGAATAGATATACAGTAAATTGAAAAATTTCTAATCAGTTTATCAATTACTTCATTCAATCAATTTATGTATTGGGAAATTGGAATAGTTCCTGTAGCACAGGACTACTTGAACAATTCCAACTTTTTCAGTATATCAAGTGAAATGGCAGACATTTGATGCTATTATTATTTTTGTCATTCATCAATGCCACTTAAACATTGATGAATGACAAAAATTGACAGTTATTTTATTTTTATTGTTAAAATTTAGAAAGTTAAAAATGAAAAAAATGAGTTTGGGATTTAAGAGTATTAGATTTATGTTTTAATGATTTTAGAGCTCACTCAGCCTATTTTAGAATTTGGTGACAATTCTGAAAAGATAAAATTAACCAGAAAATGATATGCTTTAAATGTAGATATTAGAAGTGATACATCACTTCTTATGTCAGCATTTAAAGGATGCTCATAAACTCTGGAAACATGGATGAAAATACAAAATAAATGGTTTTATTGATATATTCAGTATATTGTCTCGCAAAGCCAAATGAACTGCTGAATTAACAGGCTATAATATGGCTATATAATTAATTAAATGCTAAATAATTTGTTTAGGAGTAGTCATCTATACTGCCATTTCATGCTGGATTTAATAATTATAATAAATTTAATTTTTAAAATTTTCTGGAAGAAGAGAATTGGCCTGAAGATGCAGGACTTGAATCCTCAACTCACTCTGAAAACCTCCGGGCAATCTTCGCTTTCAGAACTTCATTTGGCTTTAACTATGAATCAGGTTTTGATGTTCTTATATATGCTTTCTCTCATTAACAATATATATGTTCAATGTGCTGTGTAATACTGCAATAAATAAAGTGCATTAACACAACATGTGTCCAGACTATGACCATCTTGTATATATTGGCATTCTAATTTCTCCTAAATGCCTTTACTTGCATACAGAATTTTTTAATTTATATTAAATCAATTAATTAGAAATTATTGTATTATCAATGATAATGAGTTAATAATTCTTTCTATAAATTATTATAATACAGTAGCATTTAAGATAAATGATGTTTTTAGTGTACAGTCTGCATATAACTTCAAAACAAAATTCTATTAATAAATTATTCAAATCTCTAAAAAATATATGAAATTTAAATAAATAGAATAAACATACTATTTCATTAAACTTCCAAATATTTTGGATGTACAGAAGATTTGCCCACCAACGATTTTTGCAAGAATCAATTCCTTGTTGCATTCCAATATTCCACAATGGACCAGATCCCATAAGGGGTATAATAAATGGAATTGTCATAGCAACTACAAGACTTGGAGTTAATCTAATCAAAATAAAATTTATAAGTATTACATATAATTAATTATTAAGAAATTAGAACTTATATCAATTTATACTAAAATATTATTATATAACTAGTATTAATAACAAAAATATCTGTTTTATTGGAGTTCACTCACACTGAATAATAGTTTCATTGACTAACTATCATTCAATGTGAGTGAGTTCCAATAAAGCAAAGGTTTTGTTATTATTTTAAGAAACTGGATTTGGTTTCATTATGAAAGATGTAAATTATAACTCCAGTAAATATTTTCAGTGGCATATCTAGGATTTTGAGAGCATGGGTGATGTTCAAGGCAGATTCAGAAGGACTAAGGCTTGTGGCACCTGTTTTTCAGAAAATGTTACTCAATTATCTAAGAATTATTTTAGTTACCAAATCTTATCTAATTGAAGTCAAACAAAATGTATTATTGACCTGCAATTTTGCATGTGTCGACACATGCATTGAATATGAGTGCACACAAGAATTTCCACCATATTCAATGCATGTAATCCGTTTTGCTGTTGATTTTTGGAGTGACAACAAAGGGATTTGAACCATATTCATATCTAAATGTGGATGCTTGCAAGATTTCAACACACAGATGTTTAGTTTTCCATGCCAGTGACAGAATTGGTGTTTATGTTACTGAGTGACTACATCTAAATTAATTAATCATGAAAAAAAATGTGCTGCTTTCATTATTTTGTACTTTCTTCTTTTTTGCATGTTAAAAAACCTTTGTTCCCACTTGTCTTTAGGATCCTAGAGTAGATTATGTTTTTCTTACTCTTATATCAATCACATTCTGTTTATTTAACTCTATCATCATAATTTAGAAAACTAAACAATGGCAAAAAACATGCAGCAGCCTTTTAATATCTGTCAATTAAAAGTATTAAAACAAGAATGAACAAGTTACCACGCTTGGCTTGAGTGCCGATATATAGTACATAATGCAAAAATTTATATGGAAATAAATTCAGATTTGGGCAATTTGTGCCGAATTCTACATTCAATGCACAATGCAAACGATTACTAATGTGGACCTGTCTTTAAAGTAAACTGATTGCTTTTGGTATCAAGTTGGCACTGCAATACCATAAGCACTCCCCTGGATATGTGTCTGATAATTATCATTATTTGTATAAGAATGAACTTTGTCACATTTGTCCATTTTGCTATATTTCGGTTATATGCATTATGTACTTGAAGTATTTAAGTATTAAATTGAAATAAAATTTGAATTCTTTTTTTTTTTAAATGAAATATAGACATTATGATGCAATATTGAAACAAAAACATACTATATATTAAAAAATATAAACAGAAATAGCATATAAATAAACTGCATTAATTTATTTTAGAGTTTCAATTAAAATATAAATTGAATCAATGAATAAATTTATGCCATTTTAAGTTAATAGAACAAAATTTTACCACCTTTAATTTTAAACTGATAGTATTTTATAATCTAAGGACTCTTAACTATTGTCATATTTCTTCAGTTCTATTCTCTCTTAACAAAAGATTTTATGTGATAAAAAAATTAACTAATAATTTTAATTAATGTATATCTAAAAAAAGAATGTTTCTAATATTATTTAACATATTTTGTTATTGTTTTAAATTTCTGAAAGTTGAAGATAATTTCAAAATTCAGTGATCCTAATTATAAGTTTAATAAAATAATATATACAAAGTGGTTCATTTTAATCAATCTACTGAAATAATTCAGAAAATATGCATCCTGTATAAAATTCCTTAAACAAAAATGTTAGATTTCAAAGGAACCACTTTCAAAGCCTTGATTAAACGAGCACATTACCCTGCCCTGACATTGTTGATAGATAGAAAGATTCTGCTACATTAAAACACTGGAGGAGCATTTTGATTATTATCCTAGAGTCACACAAGACAGAGTGCTATCAGTTTCATCATAGATGGTTATACAAACAGTAAAAAATGGAGTCAACTTCATTTTCTTAAATGGGAACTTCCATTTTTTATTGCATATTATGATTCTTCATAAAAAAACAAACTTTTATCTGAATATATTTTTTCAAAAGATTACTTATCAGAAGCTATAAAGCTAGGGATGGGCAACCTTTATAAATGTTCATATCAAAATTGCCAAATTTATGATGCAAAATTCTCTCAAATGCCAATAGAAATTTTTGGGAACATATTATTATTCAATGTCTTATTATTGATAGTGTCTATTTCTTTACTGAATTTTTATTTAGTATTACCCTACTCAATAAAATTGTATTCTAACTGGTTAAAAAATACAACTTGGCAAAGACATTGGATATTTATTTTTCAAGGTGAGCTCTGGGTTCTGTGCAGGAAAAAAGTTGTTGGCATGCCAAGGGTTCCACCCATTTTGTGTGTTTAAACTTTTATACAACCACCGTATTTCATTATTCATTTAAAAATTCTTTAGGAAACTATTATTATTTAATGAAATCATATTTTTCTTTAAATAATAAACTGATACAAAAACTTGTGCCACAATGTGTTGAAGCCATCAAGCTTGTGATAAAGAGATTGATTTTTCAAACCTATCCTCAAGCTCAGCTAATCTTAAATTTTCTCAATATATTTTTTGTGTTAATGAAACTGTAGAGTGCATAATTAATGTGATTCTCCCTTGCCTCTCTCAATTTTCTCCTATTGAAAATGATGATCAAATACATTTCCATTTTCTTGAATGTATAAATCAGTTCTCTGTTGGGAATGTCTCATAGTTTTTAATAACACATATCATGTTCATAAAATCTCATAACATCTGATAAGTACATCTTTCAGAAAAAATGTTCCAGATAAAAGCTTATTTTTTTATGAAGAATCATAATATATAATAAAAAATTGGTGTTCTCACATAAGAAAATGAAGTTGATCTAATTTTCATTGATTGTATCATCATCTCCTGGCCTCTTTGAAATCTAACATTTTTGTTTTAAAGAATTTTCTTTGCAAGATGTATGTTTTTTGACTTATTCCAGTGAATTGATTAAAATGAACCACCAAGTATGTTATATACATTAATTATGTTCCAACAGATTTTGATCAAACAACAAAGTGAAACAACATTCTATAAATTTAAGATATCAATAGATATAAAAAAAGATAAAAACCATATTTATATATTAATTATTAGTAAGTGAATATCATGATGGTTGTAAATTTAAACATTTAATAATAATAAACAAACAGAAATTTTAAAAGAGACTAGAGTTTTATTAATATAAATTTAAAGAATAAATTACCAGTACATATAAAGATATCATGTTAATAATCATTTAATACAATCATTAACAAACAAAATAAAAAAATTTAATTTTGTATTTCTAAATAATAGTTTTACCTCCAATATCTTCTTAATAATAATTTCATAATATTCAATCTTCCATTATTTTTCTCTAAAATTTTCCATGTTGAGTATGTCATTAAAACACCACTAAATAAATTTAAATATATTAAATAAAATCTTACTGATTCATTATATTTCTAGAAAAAAATATGTTATGATATACTAATAATATAAATAAATAATTTGTATTAAGTAAAATGATTCTGTTATCTATCATTAGTACAAATTAGAATTTATATTGTAATATACAGTATATAGTATTATAGAAAGAATCACAATATTAAAAGCATCACTGGGTCTAGTATAGGGACTATTATAGATGCTAATTTATNAATTTAAAAGCCATTATGTTCAGTAAATAAATGTAACCATTATATTTCTAGAAAAAAATATGTTATGATATACTAATAATATAAATAAATAATTTGTATTAAGTAAAATGATTCTGTTATCTATCATTAGTACAAATTAGAATTTATATTGTAATATACAGTATATAGTATTATAGAAAGAATCACAATATTAAAAGCATCACTGGGTCTAGTATAGGGACTATTATAGATGCTAATTTATGGATAGAACAGTTTTTCCTTGATTTAATGTTAAAATTTTTATTAATAGATGCATTCCTCCATCTGATTATCACTTCCAGACCAATTAATTTAAAAGATATAACACATCTGCAAAGTATACAGAAGTTACAGGTCTTAGTCTCATTCAAAGTTGGTTTTCTTTCTTATTAAATTTAATTCAAAAATTAATGTCTGATTTAGAAGTCTGATGATGAGATGATCTCAAACTTCTTATCTTAAAAACTTGCTAATTCATTCAACAGGAGTAAATGTTTATTAAATAATTAATGTGCTGTAGAAAAGATGCAATCAACTCTACTTATGAGAAAAATTAATCTTCACTTATATGAACTAAAGTGCAAGTCTTTTTTCCTCTTCAAATCATTCTTACAAATTGTTTTATAGCTTAGATGTGATTATTATATATCATGTTGTTGGAGTGTGAGTTGTATCTATAGGAGAGTAAGTCTTAAAGTTTAACAAGGAGTTATAAAATATTTTTTAATTACTGTCTGATCATTAATTTGTTACACATATTCACATTAAAAACTTATACTATAATATGCTACATAAGAAATTCAGTGAAATTTTTTTGTTTAAGTATAAAAGAAGTGGACTGGCCAACTGGGAAGACAGGAATTTTCTAGTCGGCTATTTGCTCAGTAGTCATTCTTTATTTTAATATACATTATATTTCACTTAAGAAAAATAAATTAATAAACAAAATACAAGTATTGTCTACTATATTAAATTTTATAAAAAGATCTTGTTCTAAGGGTGTGGCTATGCAGACGTGAGTGAACAAATTTTCCGAGTGAGCAAGTATTTGTGGAAATAAGTGGTGATGATGTTTCACACTCTCTGTATCTTACTCTCGTTTATTATGACCACACAGACAAGAACAAGAAACAGAGAACGTGAAATGTCATCACCTCTTCTCGCCACATATTTTCGCTTGCTCGTGTCTGCATAGTCGCATCCTAATTCAGGCTATAAGACACTGTGGTATGTTACATATGAACAAATGTCCTGCTCACAGCAAAAACAAACTATTACTTGAAATTTTAAAATGGCTGGCCCTGGATTCAGATAAAAATCACCTTGAAATGAATGGCCCATGCAAACTGACATTTGGCTAGAAACAATGAAACTTTTGAAACTTCAAATTTGAAAATAACTGATCACATTTTTGGCTGTAGGTTGTCGTGATTCTTTTCTGTTTTTGATTTGCATGTAGCACCATGAGTCTTTTTCAAATCCATAATGAAACAGGTGTGTGGGAAGAATGGGGCCCAACATATTTGGGATGATCTGTCGCAAATATGCACTCTGTTTCTCGTTCTCATCTGTGTGGTCATAATAAATGAGAGCAAGATACAGACAGTGGGAAATATCATCACCTCTTCTTTCCACTTATTCTTGCTCGCTTGGAAAATTCACTCACTCATGTCTGCATAGCTGCACTCTTAGAACAAGATCTTTTTTTTAAATATGTTAAACCCCATCCCCAGTTGAAAAATTTCTGGGTTTATAACTTCCTAGATTAAATCCCAAATCCCCAGAGCAATAGGCTGATGCCTTAACTGTCTTGGCCATCATATGGCCAGCAATGTATATATGGGCCATTATTTGGTATATATTCCTATGCCAAAATTTTTGCGAGTCCATAGCTGATTAGATATCAGTAATTATGACATTATTAAAAGATAACCTTTGTTATTTTAACTCATTTATATCTAATTGGAAAATATTTTAATGTAATTAATAATTTTAAAATAACTTTTAAAAATGACATAAAACTTACCTCATAAAGAAAAATGTGTCTACGGATAAAGAAAAATTTTCAATTATAGCTAATGCCAAATTTGTTTTAAATTCTTTAAAACCTTTTAGATTTTCTGTAATATATAAAATTCATTAAATAAATAGCATAAAATGTAATATAAAAAATTAAAATATTTCATAGAATAGATTCCCATTTAACCAAGACCCATTTAATTGAAACTGCTATACAGAACCTGTTGTTTAACTAAGATTATGCATTATCTGAAGAGTATTGTGGAAGATTATTTTGTCAATAATGGCAAGAGAATGTAGAATAATACAAAATTAATTTGTGACTCTTGGCTGGATATTATGCAATACTCAAAAAGGACTGTCCATTAATTATATATACAGTTTAAAAGAAAGGTGTAGCAAAAAGTTATAAAACTGGTACATTATTGTACATGAGAGGAAGGGGTTGATTTATTATCTGCATGGCCTTGCATTATTTACATGACTAATAACTTTACTTATTAGTCATGTAAATAAACTATCAGTTAGAATTTGCAAAACTTTTGAAAATCATTTCTTTAATTTCAGGATGGTTTTTGAACTATTGTACACACAATAAAAAGGGAAGGGATTTGTACAAAAGTACACCATTATACACAACAATGATGTCTAAAGTAGATCAGGATAGCTTAATTATAATCATAAGTTTATATTTGTTTTAATAAATGTAATTGTAAAAAAAATTAAGTGTTTTATTGTATAATTTAAAAGCCATTATGTTCAGTAAATAAATGTAACCTAAAAACAGTGCATTGTACATGTTAATCCATCCTTATTTATTTTATTTAATAATTTACAAAACATTCTATACTATATGAGTGTTTCTAAAAGTATTCTGGATTCACATTAACTTGGATAATAGACTACTATATATAATTTTTTAAATTAGAAATGACTGTTAATATATTATTTAATAATTTGGTACAAAATATCCAAGTTTTTTTCACACAGTTAATATATATTTCTTGCAAGTATTCTGAGTGGATGCAAATGCACAGGTACTCTTTCCTTTCAGCAAGTTTCTTTTTGTACCAGTCCATACAGAATCTTAGTAATGTTCTTTTTTATAAATACTTTAGTAATATGTAGGATTTATATGTAATATTAATTAAGGATGCACCGATAAGCAAAATGGCCAATTACCGATTACCGATTAATCGGCCATGCATTATCGGCCGATTAGTGTTAATAATTTATTGCATTAATAGTGTGAGATCCTGGAGTTAATTATACAGTTAATTATAATGTGGAAAAAACCCATTTTTCTCCACCTGGTATTTCCATCTCCCTCGGGTCAGGTAAACAAGAGACGATCGAATATCCTCGCAAAATCAACAATCTCTTCCTTTGTTTCTAAAATAAATCTCAACACTTAATTGTTGACGCATG